GAACTCACTCTGTAGCCCAGGCTGGCCTCGAACTCACAGAGTTCCTCCTGCCTCTGCCTCCTGAGTGCTGGGACTAAAGGCGTGCACCACCACTGCCCGGCTCAAATAATGAAATGTTTGCAAAAAAAAAATTAACAGGAATAATTATATCATTTGTATTTTAATTGAATTACTGAAGTGTTTTTAAGAATCTTATGACTCGGGGTTGGGGATTTCGCTCAGTGGTAGAGCACTTGCCTAGCAAGCACAAGGCACTGGGTTCTGTCCTCAGCTCCAAAAATAAAAAAGAATCTTATGACTCAAGATGTCTCAAGATGTGCCACTAAGCCTGAGAACTTGAGTCCCAGGCTTATATATGTGTATGGCAGTTTGTGTACACACACACACACACACACACACAAACACACATGCAGCTTAAGAAAGACATTACCCAATTCTTTTGATGTGGCTAATAGTTGACAAAATGTGGCTTTGAAAACACGAACAGGCTTTACGTGAAGAGAGTTAATGGGTTTGGAGCGGAAGGGCACAGTCACAGTCACGCACAATGCTCATGTGTGGAGGCAGGGTTCTGGACAAAGTGAGTGCCGTGGTGGTGATAGTCCTGACTCCAGTGAGCACGCCATTCTAAAACCTGGTCGTTTCCTTATGCTGCACGCTTCTGTCTTTGTTGTTATTTTGAGACACAGTCTCACTATGTGGCCCTGGCAGAGGCCAGAAGAGGAGATCAGATCCCTGATGCTGGAGTTTCAGGGGGTCATGGGCCACTCTAAGAGCAGTGAGTGCTCTTAACATAAAATCATCTCTTCCTCCAGCCTTGTTTGGCTTTTTCTTTTTTTCTTTTTTTCTTTTTTTGGTGTTAACCAGAACCCTTTTGTACACTTTTAAATTGGGCTGTTAATTCTTTTGTTGTTGAGAAAAGATCTCATGTCCAGAATAAATAATAATAAAGAATACAACAAAAAGACTAACCTCTACTGTGAGCTATTACTTCACACTCACTAGGAGAGAAATATTATGGTAAGTTAATACACTGGTGGGGGCTGGAGAGATGGCTCAGCGGTTAAGAGCACTGGCTGCTCTCCCAGAAGACCTGGGCTCAAGTCCCAGCACCCACATGGCAGCTGTGATTCCAAGATCTGACACCCTCCAACAGTCGTACATGCAGCAAAACACCAATGCCAATAAAATAAAAATAAATTATAAAAATAAGTAAATAAATAAGCCCTTAAAAAAAAGAAAAGAAGACAGAGATTATGGGTCCAGTTATGTGAAATGCCTAGAACACACAATCCCTAAAGAACAGACTAACTCTACCAGCAGTTGAGGGAGGAGAAAAGGAACGATTGCTTAGCAGGTACAGATTTCTTCTAGGGGTGAGAAAACATTCTGAAATCCTGAGAGAAGGTTGTTCAAGTTTGTGGACATAATAAATGCCAATAAAGTGTATATCTTAAACTGGCTGATTTTATGCTATGTGAATTTTAGCTGAATGTTTGAAAAAACAAGGCATGGTGCTTCATGCCTGTGTTCCCTCTGGGAGGCAGAGGTAGGATTCCTGGTTCAAGAACAGCCTGGGCTACAGAGAGAAACTCAGAAGTCCTAGGGGACCAGGAATGGAGTTTAGCTGTAGAGCATTTGCCTTTCTTGTGAATGGACCTACATTCCGTCCTAAGCACTGGGGGAGGCGGGGAGGACTTGTCAGAAAACCAGTAAAAACAGATATGCAAGGTGTTAGAAAAAAAATGATATATTTACAGTCCTGTAAGTCCCCAAATGAACTAAGAGGAAGGAGGTAGCAAGTACAAGCAGGTTCCTTTACAGTGAAACCTCACTCTTCCCCAAACCCTGAGTATCAACCAATGGGATCAGTCCCTGCCCCAAGGCCCATCCTCCTTACAACCCAAGAAGTCATTCTCCCACTGGCCACACCCCTCAGGCTTCCTGCCAGTCATCCCTCGCCCAGACTGGCATGGGTGAGACATACTCAAAGTCTGGCCCTTTATAGCGGAGGGCATGCAGGAACATCACAAGATCTTGGGGCAAGGGATCCTGTCGCAACACCCGGCACTCTGCACAGAGTGGGTCTGTTTCTTGATTCGTAACATCTGCTTTAGCTGTCTTCTCTGGTGCGTCCAGATCCTGAGAGGCTGCCTCAGCTATTCCATCTCTCTTCTGGGCTACTGCAGCCAACTCTTCCAGGCTGCCCTTGGCCAACTCTGCAGAGGGGGCCGTGGAGTCCATGAGGCCTGAGGCCAGGTCACCCTCACAGAGATCTAGCACATTCAGGCTTTCTTTGGCCTGGTGTTCTGCGACCAGGTCCCGGAGGAGTTCCTCATCTGTCTTTGGAATGTGGCCACCCTGGCCTCGAGAAGGACCCCAGGCAGCTGAATTGTAGATGGGGTCATTGAGGATGGGGTGGCCCAGGAACTGGAGGTGGACTCGGATCTGGTGAGTACGGCCTGTAAGTGGTCGGCACTGTACCACACTGGAGCGGCCATTGTAGCTCAGTCTCTGGAACACAGTCTCACAGGGCTTGCCCCGGGGATCCACGCGGCACACTCCTACCTTGTAAGACACCACTAAGATGGGTTCCTTGCAAGTTACCTCCTTGTCAGGGAACTCCCCTTCCACTCGGCATACGTACTCCTTCTCCAGCTACAAAGGAGGAAAAGGGGAAAAGTCAGTCCAAAGCCAAACTGCAGAGTCTAAACCCTCTACAGGATGCACCAGTGCATCTGAGAGAAGAAGATTCAAACCCCGGTGCTAGCTTTGTCAGTTTCTCCATCCTGGGTAAGTCAGCTAAGCTCTGTATATCCCCATCCCTCATCTAGGAATAGGAACTCAGGGGCTGGAGAGAGAGCTCTGCAGTTAACATCACCTGCTGCCCTTGCAGAGGACCTGGGCTCAGTTCCCTGCATCTATATGGTTGTTCAAAACCATCCCTAATTCCAGGTCCAGGGGATCTGTCCCCCTTCTGACCTCAGCAGGCACCATGCACACATGTGGTGCACATAAATACACACAGGCAAAACACTCACATAAAATAAAAGAATACATCTAATAATATATATATATATATATATATATATATATATATATATATATATATATATATATATATATATAGTATATATGAAATCAGAAAACATTTATCTCCTAGGGCTGCCATTAGCATTTAGTAAATTGGACTCTAATGTGCTGGGGATTAAGTCTGGCATGTGCTCAATAAATGCATTATGATCCAGATGCAGAATTCCAAGTCTCCAGATCATAACAACTACCAGCCAATGATCTTACACCTCTCTAACTTCATCCAGTCTTCCTCCTAAGCCAGCTGCCTCAGAATCTTAAAAATGTTTAGTGATTTCTGAACAGCAAACAACCACGAAGCAGTACAGCCATCTCCAAAGACCTTCTGAAACATACAGGGCAGTCTGTCTTTGGCACTTTCGGCGCTGAGCCTCCTCAAAGTAGGAAGGATGTAGACACACCCCAGTCTAGGAGTCCATGACCCCTGTCTAACACAAAGCACGCGGGAGCCCAGGACGCAGTCTCCAGCAGACAAAGGCCCGGCTCACCTGACGGTCCCGAACTTGCTCATGGATCTTCTCCGAGACTGCAACTGTCTTGGCAAACATGAGCACTCCTGAGGTGAGGCGATCGAGCCGATGTAGCGGGTGCAGCTCCTTCAGTTGGTGCTCCTTGCCTAGGATGAAGATGACCGTGTTGTGTCGGAAACGGCCACAGGGGTGGACAGGAATGGAGGACGGCTTGTCTATAACAACCACATCTTCGTTCTCAGCTAGCAGGCGAATAGGCTCTGCGGTGACCGGTGGCTCATGTCTGTGCACCGTGTTCCGCAGGAAGTCGTTGTCCTGTCAAAAGCACAGGTAGCCAGTCAGCCTGGGGCAGCAGCCTATAGACAGCCAGCTTCCTCAGCTCCTCATTGACAGGGAGGAATGGTCACAGTAAAGCCTTAAGCACAAAAAGAAGTGGCTGTAGTGTGATGTCATTTTGTCAAAATACACACAAGCACACACGCCTAGTGTTGAAAACTACACAGTTGGTTGAATACCTTGGTGGTGAGATTATGAGTGTTTTCTGGTTTTGCTTCTTCGTGTAATCTTTACAATACAATTGTATTTTAAAGATTCTTCACTACGTTTATTCATGTGTGTGTACAGATAAAGGCACATGCAGAGTCGAGAGATTGTGAGTCTTAGTGGCAAGGACCTTTACCTGTTGAGCCACCAACCATCCTGATACAAACATACTTTGAAAGCAAATGTCTTTAAATAGGGGGGGAACCTCTATTCGTCACCAGTTATAACCTTCAACAAACAACACCAAGCCCCGAGTCCGGAGCTCTAGGCTCTACATCTAGATTTGACATAAGCTCACTACATATTCTTGGGCAAGTCATTTTGCCCTCTCTGGGCCTCAGTTTTCTTACCTGTGAATGTGAGAGTTACAACAGACCTGTGGTTTTCAAAATCAGTATGAGAGGTTATTGCCAAATCCTGAAATTACCCTTTTCTCCTTATAATCACGGTGAGCCAGTGTAATCACAGGTGTCTCATGGAATTAAAAAGAATTAAAAAAAAAAAAAAAAAGCCAAAGCACCTGGCTAGTATCTATCCCTGAATTCCTAATTCTCTAACACCAGGATCCATGACAAATACTTCAAGCATTAATATGATCACACACTTCGAAAACTTCACTGTTGCCTTTCTTCCATGCTAGAGCGCACAACATGCTGAACTTTGTGCCTGACACAGTTAAGAACACATGAGTGAGGTATCTACTATTATTATTGGTACAGAGATCTATCATGCAGGGTGGAAAGTAGGCAGCCCCCTTGACAAAAGGCAGATAAAAGAGGAACATGAGAACTTCCATTCCTGGTTCTTAAAAAAAAAAACAAAAACAAAAACCGCCTTGCTGGGGAAGGATGAACAGGTTGAGTTCTAGGGCATGGAAAGGCTGTCTACTTGGGGATATGGGAAGCGGAAACTAAACGAGTCCCCAGGGAAAACGAGATTGTTTCTGAATCACCATCGTTGTACTCCGGCATTTATAAACAACAACAACAACAAAACCTTTTCTCCTTTTCTCAGAGCCTGATTCTGGCCAGCCCCATCGGACACCACCTTGAGCACGATGCTGAGGTCCTGAACCGGTTCCTCGTTGAGATGCAGCCGTCCCGCCCGGACTGCAGCCTCGTAGTACGCCAGTGGCTGGGATCGGAACTCGGTGCTGAAGACGTGCAACAAGCTGCGGCCCACCCAGCGACCTTTACAGTAGGTCTGGAAGTCAAAGTAATAGGGCCGCACCTTGCGCAGGCCGCCCTCGAAGTAGTAGGTGGTCTCCGCAAAGTGCTCATCGCCGAAGCTGACCCCAGTCCGCCGTTTCTTCGGGGGCGGCACGACCCGTTCCCCGGCGGCGCCTCGCCGCTTCTTCCTCTTGCCTGAGTCGGCGACCGGAGCTGGGACCTGTCCCCCCGCCGCCGGCGGCTCCAGGCCCTCGGGGAGCGGCTCTCCGCCCCCGTCACTACCGGAGTCTCCATTTTGCTGAACCGGAGCCTTCAACTCGCCCGCTGCCTCGGCCTGGGTACAGAGCGCCTCGGCCATCGCCTCCCTACAGCTCCCCCAAGTCCTGGCAAAGCTGTGGGACCAGAGCGCCAGCCGCCACTGCAGAAGGATTCGTAGGCAGACGGGGACACCCCGCCACATGACAGCGAGGCCAACTGCCCCAGGGTCGCGATCTGATGGCGTCATATGAAAGCAACCAATCAGAGGGGCCCATTACGGAGGTTTGCAAGGAGTGAGTTGAGTTAGCAGAGTTAGGTGTCTGAGGATGTCTTCCCCCAGAGTGGCTTATGAAGGAAACAATGAGCGTACACAGACTCCCGTCATCAAAGAGATCAGAGGTTACTTCCTGAAGGGAGTCTTCGGGAGTGCTCCACGTAAAAGCGTTGGATGGAGATGATGGTACACATTCCATATAGATAGGCTCTACTTCCCCGGGTCTGTAAAACAGTTAAAAGTTTACTTAAAGGAAGCAGAGCGGGCAAGGCAGCGCACACCTGTAGTCTCCGTGCTCAGGAGGTAGAGGCAGAAGTATCATTAGTTTCAGTTCTAGGGTTACCCAAGAGCGTGTCTCAAAATAAAAACAAACAAATAGTAATAATTATTGTTGTTTTAAAAACAAAGAAGCCGGGCGGTAGTGGTGCACGCCTTTAATCCCAGCCCTTGGGAGTCACAGGTTCGAGGCCAGCATGGTCTACGGAGTGAGTTCCAGGACAGCCAAGACTGTTACATAGAGAAACCCTGTCTCGAAAAACAAAAACAAATGAATAAAGAGAAAAACAAACAAAAAGCAAACAGGCAGGACACAGAGGACCAATCAGAATGAAAGTGGCTACGACCATGACTGTACCAAGGACTGTTCCGTCTGCTCTACTCGTTTGAGGGGCAGTGTTGGGGAATCCTAGAGTCTCAAGCACTCTTCCATTAAGTTATACCCATTACTACTACTGTATGATTTAAAATGGTACCCGTTATAGTCTACTACAGATCTCAATAAAGCTATTATATACATATCTATATATTTGTATTATACACACACACCACAAAGCAATATTTTTCACACCTGTCCTTCCTACTAACAGTACCAAAAGAACTAGAGATTTCCTATTTGATTTCCATAAACTCTTATCCAGAACAGCTTGCACATTAAAACCTCAAATGGATTAAAAATGCATTGCCAGGGACTTCTGTGTGTATATGTATGTTCTGGTTACATGCAGTTGTACATGTGAGTGTGTATGGAAGTAAGAGAAGGACTTCAGGTGTCCTTTCTCTGGTGGTACCCATCTTGTTCTTTTGAGAAAGTCTCTGTCTTAGTTAGGGTTTTCTAGTGCTATGAAGAGACACCATGACCACGGCAACTCTTTCAAAGGAAAGCCTTTAACTGAGGTGGCAGCTTGCAGTTTCAGGGGTTCAGTCCATTATCATCACTATGGGGAGCATGGCAGTGTGCAGGAGCATGACTGTGAGCAGATGTGCTGCTGGAGCTGAGAATGCTACATCTTGGAGGCAATGGGAAGTCAATTAAATGTCACACTGAGGGAAGCTTGAGCAAAAGAGACCTCAGAGAGCTCACCTCCACAGTGACACACTTCCTCAAACAAGGCCACACCTCCTAATAGTGCCACTCCCTTTGGGGGCCATTTTCTTTCAAACCACCCACAGTCTCTCACTGAAATACAAACACACACGATAATGCCCCCTTCTTTATGCCGGTTCTGGGGAATCAAGCTCAGGTCTGTGTGGCACGGCAAGCACTTTACCAGCTGAGCTATCTGCCCAGCCTGCTACAGTTCTTAAATGCAAAATGCTGAGATCCATGTTGGCTAACTTCATCAACGAGGGAATTACTGGAAGGACATTGGTGCCTCTTAAGATTCATAAAAGAGCTAAAGATTAGACTCGGCAAAGAGACCAAACCAAAGGAAGCAGAGGCCTCTGGAAACTAGCCGTTGCTGGAGAAGAACCCAGTTGGGATGCTGCCACACTGTGAGATGAGCAGCTGTGCCAGAGGACTTTCTGCCTCACAGCCTTCTCGTTCCTTGAAACATCTCTAAAAATCTCAACCTCTTTGTGTTCCTATCTCAAGATCCAGAATCCTACAAGGAAGCCTTCCTTCCTCCAAGGAGGGACTAGATCTGTCTTTATTTACAGAGTGCCTGTAAATAGACTAGAACCCTGTTTAGTCTTCACAGTGAGATTCCTCCAAATAGGTCGACATTTGGATGCTAGTGTCTAAAAATTGAACAACTGTCTAGTCCAACTGAAAAATGTGAGCATGAACTTTTTCATGAGCATTTATGATATAAAATGTTAATGTTGGTTTAGACTATTCTTATCTTATGTATTAGCATTCTGGAGAGGATCAAGAGGAGATTTTTAGCTAAATTCTTCATTATATCAAAAGTCCCACAAAGGCAGGCATTGTAATGAATGCCTATAGCCCTAGCACTTGGGACGTGGACGTGGGAGGGTCAGAAGTTTTAGGTCATCTTTGACTACAGGGTGAGTTCAAAGCTAGCCTAAACAAAGGGCTCATCAAACCAAGTGAAGGACTGAAGTTGTTAGTCTTACTCCAGAGCAGACTGACGTATCTGAAGCTATAGAAGTCCTTATGCTGAAATGCCAGATTCCTAATCAATTGCTTTTTAAAAAGAGGTTGAACTTTTCGCTGGTTATGGGTACTTTAGAACAGAATTGTTTCAAAAGGAAAACACTATCTCTTGAATGAGTGGTCTTACTGGAGATGGCTCAGCAGTTAAGAGCACTGGCTGCTCTTCCAGAGGTCCTGAGTTCAATTCCCAACAACCACATGGTAGCTCACAGCCATCTATAATGAGATCTGATGCCCTCTTCTGGCATGCAGGCATACATGTGGACAGAGTACTCATACATTAAAAAAAGAAAAAAAGAAAGAAATTTACAATGAGGACTGGGAGTAGTGGTGTATGCCTTTCAACACAGCACTAAGGAGGCAGGTGGATCTGTTTGAGTTCAGCTTGATCTACATAGAGAGTTCCAGACAAGCCAGGGCTACACAGTAAGACAAAAGAGAGAGATGAGACAGAGAGAGAAGGACAGAGAGAAGGAGGAGGCAGACACGGGTGGAGAGAAAAGAGAGAGACAGCAAGAGGAAAGGGAAGAAACTTACAATGAGGGTAACATTTTATCCAAAGAAAATTATACATAAGCAGGCTTTCTGCTTCCTAGAGTTTGTACAGACTCAGCTTGACCTGATCACAGCCATCTTGAGTCATAACCACGATTGCCTCTGAGTAAACTTAGTTGGCTTTCCCTGCATAGTTTCCCAGTACATTGTAAGTACACTATATGGTATGTGGAGCTTTATAGCTGGATCTCAGCACAATCAATGCCTGACGTCCTTGATATTGGGTTAGCTAAAGCAGGTATATTCTACCTTGAAGTCACTTCTGCTTTTACCAGAATATAAACTCTCTTCTGGCTGAAATTACAGGTATCCCTCATTGCTCTTGTTGCCAGACAGGACCACACTTCCATCAGCAAGTCCCTTAAACTCTATACAATCTGGGGTCTTTCTGCCTCTTTCTTCAGTCTCATGTGACCTGGAGCCTGTTTTTCATACTGGTTTGTTCTGGAACAGAGTTTGGAGAATTAACAAAGTAATCCAATTAAAACACTTAGAATAGTGCTTAGCAAAATTGTTGGATGTAAAAAACAAATCAAAATCTCATTCTCCCACTATTCTTGACTTTTGAACAGAAATCTGCACTTCAGGCTGATTTATGTGGAAGGCTTGAGAAGTACTAATATAAAACATCCCAGCATTCCTTGTACTTTATGGATATCTAGCACTTTCCAAATACATTTAAAATTTTTAATATAATGAGTTGTTGTGGTATTGGAGATCAAACCCAGGGTCTTGCACATATTGAACAAATGTTCTACCACTACACTATACCCCCCAGACCTTGTCCCCTTCTCTTGAGTAGAGAAACTTCTGACATTACATTATTACCTCTAAGAGGTAGAGGCCACAAACTGGCTATGATGGTTCCTTTTGACTGTTAATCTTATTCAACTGAGACACACCCAAGAGATTAGTTTTTACTAGCCTAGCTTCTTATGAACTAATTAGTCTGTACTAGTCTAGCACATTTCTGGGTATGTCAGTGAGGGCATTCCTGGGGAGGGGGTTGATAGGTGGTACAGAAACAGAGGTATAGACACACTTACTCAAGATGGAATAAAAATAGAAAAAGAAAGAAGCCTGAACCATCACTGATGGACACTAGGATCCAGCACACAAATCAGATTTGGAGGACTTGAATGACCTGGTAGTGTTCTAAATTGTTAACCTGTGGTTGTAAATTTAAGAAAGTACTTTTTCAGCAACTGGGTTATTCACAGCTACTGTTTAAAGGCATCTCATCTTGGCATCCAGACATCGGAGAGACCAAATAGGAAATCAAGAATGTGTTTGGAAGCCACTTAGTAGTGGCACATGCCTTTAATCTCAGCACTTGTGAGGCAGAGGCAGGTGAATCTTTGAATTCGAGGCCAGCCTGGTCTACAGAGAGAGTTTCAGGACAACCAGGGCTACACAGAGAAACCCTGTCTCAACGAAACGAAACAAAACAAAACAAAGCAAAGCAAAACAAAACAAAACAAAACAAAACCAGACAGACAACAAGACTGGTTTTGGTGAGCATTTGATCAGTGTAAAGAGTGTATGTGACTCATGAAGACTTGGCACATCTTAATGAAACCCTGGGAACTCTATTCCCATGCCGCTTTCTGTGAACCAGATAACACCAGATTTCTTTCTCTTATTCTGTGAGTAAATATTGCCACAATCTTCACTGTTACTTATTTTGTTGTTTTTAGTCTCTTTGCTTTCCAGTTCCTTCAGTTTGTAGTCTAAGAATGCTTACAGATGTGAGCAACAGTATTCTGTGCTGGCATTTGCACATGATAGCAGTTTGCTGTTACCTTTGTCATAACGATGGGATTTGGCCACATCTCAAGACAATCTCCTCTGCCAAGCTACTGTGCTGATGACTGGCTGATGTGTTTCATCACGTCTTTCTTTGTGATAGAGTAACAGACTTAGAACTGGGAATAATGGGGCTCAGCTGTTAAGAGTGCTTGCTGCCCTTTTGGAGGACCAGGTTCAATTCCTAGCATCTCCATCAGAAGTCTAACAACCACTT